CCTCCCGTACCCACACCGAAACCACGAACCTTCCCCTCCCCCCGAGTCTCTCACCTTGGGCTGCCAGAACGGGTCCACTCCCTTCAAGGCCTCCCGGGCCCAATCGGGCAGTGCGGTGGGCAGCACGGACATGGGCGCCCCGGCTAGTGGGGGACCTGCCTCCGCCCCCGCCCCTGCCCCTGCCCCTGCCTGAGGGGGAAGAACTGGTAACTGTTGATGGAGCTGGAGTTGGGGCTGGGGGTTCTGTGGCAGTGATTGGGGGTGTGACTGGGACACGGGTTTCGGGGCTGGAGGTTGTTGCTGCTGCTGCTGCTGCCGGGGCGGCTGTGACACCTTCGCGGGTTCCTGCTGCGATTGGTGCTGAGGTTGCGGTTGTGGTCTCGGAGCCAGGGGCTGCCGCGGAGTCGCCGCCACAGCCGGGGGCCCACTCCGCCCACTGACGGCGGCACCGGCGAGTGCTGCGGCGGCAGCGGCTCCCGCGGGGGGGGATCCCCCCCTGGTCCGGGGGGGTTCCAAGGGGACCTCATCCGCGGGGTCCGCATTCCGCGGCCGCTTTGTGGCCCGCTCCAGGGTGCCTGAGGAGGCAGGCAGCATAGTGCAGCGGCCGCGGTGGCGCCTTTGCGAGGGGGGAAAGGAGCAGGCGCAGGGAGAAGGAGCTCTTGAGGGTTGAAGAGGGCACCAGGTGGAGTTTGCAGTGGAATGTGCCGTGTCTGATGGGCCTCGTGGTGTTTGTGTAAGTGTGTGTGGCCGGGGGGCGCCCGGGGGTTGGTTGGGCGCGGGGGAAGCGGGGCCTCTGTTTCGGGGTCGCAGTCCGGGGTTGATGGGAGGAAGGGTGGATGGGAGTGTCAGAAGATGGCTGAAGGTAGGTCTTGGGGCTTGGGTAGGCGAGGGATGCGTGGGTTACGGTTGCAGTACTTGGGAAGGCCTCAGGCAGGGATCTTGGGGTCTAAGGGCAACGCATAGAACACGGAAGGCATGGGGAGTTCGTTGGAGCTTGGTCGTTGCGGGTTGTACGCTAGGGTTTGGGGCTTGGGAGGCCTTGGAAGATCCGAAAGTGAATACCGTACTGGGTTCGATTTTGCGTGAAATAGTGGTAGCTGTTATTGTTGCTGATAATAGCGTTGGCTGGAGCGAAAGGTTGTATGGATGGTGCATACTCAGAAGCTGTAGGATAGCGATTCAACCCGCAAACAGAGAACACATCCACGAGACGGCACCAAAAGGCCGACGGATAGCAGCAGATGACTTAACAATAAGCGCATGCCCCTACACAAAGGAGGCGTACCTAAACCATGAAAGCTCTTCTTCAAGTATGTGGCGCCGAAAACTCAAACTAAGCAAAGCAGTCTGCTTCAAGTAAGTAGGTTGGGGAAGTAGCCTGGAAAGGAAATTAACATAATGCTGTGAGCGTCATGCCTCCTTGATGGAATTTGCGTTCCGGTAAGCGGAATTCATCGACGTGGGTAGTATTATCTACAAATTTCCGCTTGCATGGAGATAATAAGTGTTACAGAGCATTTGAAGAAAATTTAATGAAAAGAGATGTTCCTTTGTCGGCCGAACGATTTAGCGCGATCATGCGCCACCGGAATCTAAACCGGCGATCCGCAACCAATTTCACACCGAGTTTTGTCGCGATATGTCGAGCTGTCCACTACGAGTGGGCTTGTGGTCCTTGTCTATTAAAAGCCCATCTGGGCACCAAGCTGGGTGTCTGCCACGTCTCACGAGCCGGAAAGAGTAGGGTGGGGATGCGGGCTGGGATAGGTGAGAGGATGTAAGGGGGGGGAGGAGGATGTGCCCAGGCCGGGGGAATCAGGATGTATCCGGGTTCCCGAGGATGCCTCCGGGGAGAAATGTTAGGATGTCTCAAGGATGCAGCCAACCCGGGATGCGAAAGCAGATAGGCCAGGATGCGGATGTCGACAGAGGCAGGATGAGGATGCCGTCAGAGGCAGGATGAGGATAGTGTCCGATATTATGATGGGCGCGCCCGCAAGCTTTACGACTTAGGGTCCGGAGCGGCGAACGGCCTTGAGCTTATTTAAGTAACATTTGTTGGTTTCGCTCGTCCCTGGGCGATGTAACGCCTGTTTATCCGCTTTCTTCACCCATGAGGTTTACGCTTCAAAATTGTCTGGCGACGCTATTCCGTTTGGCCTGAACAGTGGAAATTCATATGTGCTTATTTATAGCGATGAGCAGTGCGTAATGTACCGTGAGGTGCCGTGCTTGTCTTGTATGCCTGTGCAGCCTATCTGTATGGCTACTTGCGGCGGGCAGCGTACAGCGTACAGCTTGTGTAGAGCTGTCTTAGCGAATTGGAGGATAGTAGTTTTTTTTCTCAATCTGCAATCCTTGTTTTTTCTATTTGGTGGAAGTGTTCAGATGCTGGTATATGCTCTTGGTCGCTCTTGAAAACGTTCATCTTTGCTATGCGCCGGCTGCCATGCGCACTCAGGTTGGCCGGGCTGGAGCGGGTTGGCTACCAGCAGGGTGGAGTCAAATCCTCGCGATCGGGATCTGAACGCGGGGATATCTGGATGAGGACGTCACCGACGGAAGGTTGCCACGATTGGGGATTGGGGGCGGGTACTGGTCAGGCGGGATGGGGAATAGGGTGACGACGCCAGGATTGGGTTTATGAGCCACGGCAAGGATCAGGATTTTGCTGCACTACTTTCAGAATGGGGACTGCTGTCGGGGTGAGGATGGGGATGGGAACCCTGTCGGAGGGATAGAATCAGCACCGGCCCTTGAGATGGGGGATGGGGGACGGTTGGCCCTGCAAGGATGGGAGGATGGCTGATCAGTACCCACCCCCAGGATTGGGGGATGGGACCCCTTTTGCAACCCTCTGCAATATACTCAACTGACCAAGCCCCCAGATGTGGAAGTTTGTATCTGGGGATAAGGATGCGACCCTCCGCAGGATTAGGATGGCAAGAGGGCCAACAGAACGGCGGCAAATTTGGATTAGGATCGCAACCCACCAAGGATGAGGATGAGGATGGCGGAGGGGAGGGGACGCCGCCACCAGGATGCGGGAATGTGGGCCTCCAGGGTGCGATGTGGGGGGGGGGACAGGTAGTATGCATCCAACCGACAGGATGCGCGTGGCCCAGTCAACCCCACAAGGATGCGAGGATGAGGCGCCGCTCTGCAACCCTCCTACCAAAACCAGCCGGTTTGGTGACTGACCATAAGAGCTTATTAAACAGAGACCTAAAAGGATCTGGACCTAAAATCCTAAGACCTGTCTGTGCCGACTGTCCCACAATACGTCGGAAGGGTATCCTGTCCCCCAACACAACAACAACACAACACAACACAACGCAACAACAACACAACACAACAGTCACGCGCGAGCAACCTGCGTCCAATCGCCGTCCAAACACCTTCTCACTTACGTAACAAGATCTCTCCACACAGTTCAAACGCACTTCACTGCAGCAGACTCCAAACACGCATCCTACTTGCGTCTATTTCCCCCCCCCCGGGCAATCCTACCAGCATATACGCGTCCATACACACACACACACTCACCACACTCCCATGCCACTGGACAACCAACTTCCTTCACAATAACTTCAATAACTTCAATGAAAAGCTTCTCAACTGCCGCCAACAGCTTTCAGCAGTACACCGAAACACCTTCCACCCCACCATGCACCCCCCATCAGTCCATCCACCGGTCCGACTTCGACTTCAGACTTCCACCCTCTAGCGGCCACGTCCCACAACCACAACCACAATGACGTCATAGAGTACGTAATCCCAGCTTCGCAGCGGGCAATCCTCTCCCTCTCTCCCAAACCCGGAAACCTTTTCATCTCCACCAGCTGCTACACCCACGCGCGCGCATAATTATCTCCTAACGATTTCCCCCCCCCCACACACACATACATACATGCATACGTACATACATACATAGGCCCAGGCACATCGTCTAGGTACGCAGCACGGCCAGTCGCGCGTCGCCGTCGCCCACCACACAAGCCTCCTGCATATCCCTAACGCCCGGCCACTATCCAGCCAGCCAGCCATCCAAGACCATCGCCACCTCTTTGGCCCCACGACCTCCCACCGCACTGTAAACCTGCAAGTCTCAAAACCCCCGTACAATTCATACCCTCGATTCCCACACCAACCCCAGCCCCAACCTAGGCCCCGTGTACTGGGGTTCAGGGCCGCTGCGCAGCCACACCACCACCACCACCACCACCACCACCACTGCCGTTACTCGCCGCCGCTGCCGCAGCCGCCGCCGCCGCTTGCCCAATCGCCCGCGCTGCCGCCGCCCCGCCGCCGCCAACCGCTCGACCAGACGTCCGCCGCACCAGCGGCGGCGGCGCAGCCGCCACCACCCCACTCGCTCGTCCAGCATGCCCATGGCCATGCCCGTAGCCGCCACCGCCGCCGGCTGCTGCGCCTTCCCCTGCTTGTTGCAACGCGCGCTGTATGGCCGCCAGGGCGCTCCTCTTCAACTCATACTTAGCGCAGATGGCGTCCAGCGGCGAATTGGCCACCGTCACCGCCGCCGGCATGTCGGCGCCGCACTCGCTGCACAGCCCGTTGGCATTTGTGAGGCAGCGCCGACAGAAGGTGTGGCCGCAAGGGACCAGGGTAACGGGCGACTGGGGGAGGGAGGGGAAGGGGGGGAGGGCCCGGGGGGCCCGGGGGAAAAGGTGACCGAAGCTACATGTGGATGTGACTGGGGGGGGTCAACACCCACCTCCTCTCCTCTATCCCCCCCTCGCATACACACACACACAACTCCGCACACACACACACACCACTGCCCCTCCGGCGTCGTCACATCTTAAATGAACACTGTGCATCTTCCAGTAACACTGTACGACAAGAACGATATACTGTACTGCAGTCCACCCCGCTTTCGCAACCCCTATCATACCCCCCAAGCCCTCCCGTGATTTCCTCCCCCTTGCTCACACACTCTCGCACACACATATTCACACGCACACGCACACACATATACA